TATTTCATATTTCATTAATCATAAACATTTAACTTACATGTTATCGTTCATATTATCCATCAGATTATTCTACAAATCTTCAATTTTCAATGTTTTCAGTTTGTTGACGTCGATTAGGCGATAGTAAAAAATGAATTGTTACATACACAAATTATTTGAGAATTAGTTATATCTTATATAACTTAATAGTTTACTAATGATATTTAAATGTAAATAAATAACATATATTAACAATCATAGTATTACAAATATATTATAAGCACAACATAAAGTTCTGAATTATTATTTTTTAAACTTTATTTAAATTTCAGATTATTGGTTATACTTTATACATTTTACACAACACAATTTAATTTAATATTTAATATTTCATTATTAATTTGATTTTAATTTCACTGAAATTTGAAAATTATGTGTTAGACATATTTATTTTTATTTGATTAATAACTTACATATAATAACAGGTATTAATCTACTTGTTTGTTGAACAAATCTTGAATTGCACGTTCACTTTGAATAGATAGTGTTGAAGATGAATTGGTACATACACAAATTGTTTAAAAATTTGTTAAATAACTGTAATCATAGACCTAACAAACTCTAGAGTCCAATGAAAAATGAATCTGTATTTATATATACTATCATATTTATTGAAATTATACAGAACATCATTGAACCACATCAGCACTAGTTAATAAATTATTAATATTAGATGGTCTGATGATGCAGTTATTATACTTAGGTATTGATGTTTTTTTTTGTATAGAATAGGAATTAATACTATCTAGATAAAAAGTTTACAATTATAAATAAATGTTTACTAATTATTGAATAAAGTAGGTAATCTGATAAAATGATGACAAGAGCGTAAATAATTATTTTAGCAAGCCTAAAAACAAAAATTGCTGCATTGCATTTATTTTATTTATATCTAATTAGCAGTTTACCTGAAAATAAAATAATCATTCGATATTACATCACATTATAATATTAGACTGATTATAAACTGCAAACAAGAATTTTTTTTTTTTTAATCAAAAGTTATTTAAAGTTAACATAGGTGATCTGCCAAACAACCTCTATGTTCAATTTAATGTGGAAAGCCTAAAAAAATGAGTACACTGCATTTATTTTATTTAAACCTAATTATCCGACAATAATACATAAACCGATAATCACCTTACACACTCACACAGCCTTATTAGATTGTATATAAACAGTCAGCATACATTGATTATAGTCAGTGTTAAATCTTGAAATTAACTATTGGACTTGATACATCGTTGCTTCACACTGTTACAAGACTACATAACAAGTAATATACTTTGATCTGGTATTAGTTTTAAAACTAGTATATTAAAAATTTTAACTTACAAATTTTTCTTTAAGGTAATATACAATGTCTTCATATACCAATGTTACTGGAGACAGCTCGTCAAACGAAGATGTAAGTATTCCCATTTGATTGTGTTTGTGTGTGTGTACATATATATATATATATATATATATATAAAATATAAATATATAATAGATACAAAACAGAATTTTATATTTATATTATTGATATTTTATTAAATAATATCAGGAAAGTTCATGTTCAGTACCTGTTAAGCCAAAAATTAGCAAAAGGAAAAATGTTGTTGAGTCAAAAGCTAGTACTAGTAGTAAAAAGACCAAGATCGGAAAGGTAATAATTAATATAATTTCTAAAATATTATACACACTGACACACCACACAGACACACACACATACACACACACACACACACACACACACACACACACACACACACACACACACACACACACACACACACACACACACACACACACACACACACACATCATTTTTAATACTAATTGAAATGTTACTTTATTTTATATGTATAATATCAGCAATCAGAATCATACAAGGATATTTTTATGGATTTGATATCAAAAGGAAAAATTGAAAATGATATATTAAATACATTAACAATGAAGGAAGGGAATAGTTCTTACACATTTAAATGTTCAGTTGCACCTCACTGTGAAGACTACTATGTCATTCAGCACTATAAAATGAATACAATCCAAGATATTCCATCAGATGAAAGGTTAGTAAAAAAAAAAAAAAATGGTGGACTAATTATGGTCTATAACATGTTTAAAATAAAAAAAATATTAAATAGTGAATTTTCATACTAGATGGAAACATGCGGAAGCTAGTATTAAAATTTATACATCAAGTAGAGATACAAAAGATTCAATAATTTCAAACAAAATCAACGACGTTGTTCGAGAAATATTGGACCGGTTTTCAACAGATTCTAAGAAAAAACTTGTCAAAAATAAAATAATCACAATTTAAATGTATAATCTGTTTTATTAATATTACAAATTGTAAAAATTTATATTTAATGATTGTTTAATAAAAGTAGTAACATTATAAAAAAATAATTAATCTTGTTTCTATTTTTACAATAATATTGATAATTTTTATTAATGGTATAAAGTTTAAAGAGCAAAAAACAAATTAAAACAATAATTAAATCAGTTTTACCCTTATTTTTTTTTATTACAAACCATATATAGTAATAATAATAATATTAATAGTAACAACTGAAAAGTGTTCAAACTTTTTTTTTTTTTTTTTTTTTTTTTAAATTAACTGACATATAATTACATCATAATTCATAACAATAAATAAATCGTGAAAGATACTTACAGAAATAAATCATAGCACCAGAAACACATGAACGGTTGTTAATATAAAAATTAATAATATAAATAATATATAATTATTAATATAAAAATAATTAATATGCGAGACCTTCAAAGGTCAAACATGCGGTTTAGTCATATACTTTAACACTAACCAAAACTGTTCTATCATGTAGCATGAATACAGAATAACATAACTATAGTCTATGAACATAACGAAAAATTACATATTATATGAACTATGGAAACAAAATTAATAATTCATGATAAGATAGTTTAAATTTCGTAAAAAACGGGTAATCAACCACGGTTAACAATGATACGAAGAATATGTGATAACGAAGGTTACACTGCTGTCTGATCGCAACTCGTAAACAACCTGCAGCTGGTGATAAAGCAGTCGTAGATTGTAACTACATAACGTTATATTTTAATATCATTTAATATTATATCTGATAAAGAATTATTGTGGAATTGAAGTATTTCATACATAAAACTGAAATCATCGTTCTGTACAAAACAATTGCTAAAATCAAAGTTTTGTATGTACTGGTTTGTAAAATCATTTCGCTGACAAGATAATGGTAAAATATTAATGTTTGCTTTAATTAATGAATACACTGTATCAAAAATTGACTGATATGAAACCAACTTTTTCTGCTTTTCAACAATATACGAATCAATACATTCTTGTAATTCTTTTATCCGATGGAGATCATTATATGATAACGTGATAAATTGGTTATTAACATACAATTTAATAGTAAACTGATTTAAATTAACTGTATAATATATGCTATCTGTTATTTTTATACGTTTACTATTATTAGTATGTAGATTATTAGTTATTGAGCTATAAATTGAATCTGAAATTAGTGTATACCACTGTATTAAATCGATCATTAGCATTTTTTTTGCGAAATTACATTGGAGTAATATAATAACAGTAAACATATTTTTATCAACCAAAAATCCAACAGTTACACTTTTCTTGCTAAGAGGTCGTATATCGATTACTGACTTTGAAACAACAATTGGAATCATATTGTACTGCGACGTGTTCTTTTTGATATAGTCGATTTTTTATGATTTTTTTCAAAAAAAAAAAAACGTATAAATGTAAAAAAATGTTTGAACTTCAAAAAACGTGAAATAGAATAACGGATGATCGTTACAACACACATATTTGAAAACTGAGTATATTACTTGAATCCTGTATTATTATATACTAAACTTTTTTGTCTGATATCGATATAAAAAACTAAAGTGACCATGAAACCAAATCAGATAACGCGTAGAGAGGGGATACTTACTTGAACCGTTGAACCTGTAACTTGAATTTTAAACCTACCTACTATATTGAATTACAACTTGACGCGTTATCCGACTCGACTACAAGTCAACGACTAACGAGATATAAAATCAATTATTAACGCATTTAAGTTGATTAATACAATATTTATTTATAAATGATTACAAATTATTAAAATATAATTAATTTAAACAAGTAAACTAGTTAATGATAACATATTATGATTTAGACTGATTACAATCACAAACATGTGTAGATTTTACATATTCGTTTTTTACATTTTCTATAAATTCATTACCCTTACAAAGTAAAACAAATATACATTTAGGATTCCATTTTGCATGTTCAACAAACGGAATGTCATCTTTAGTCCATTTTTGTAACACCAGTCCGCAACAAAAACATTCGACTATGTCAGCAGTTCCTGAATACTTAAATCCAGCCTCAGATAACGAATATTTATTTTGACATAAAGTTGATGGAAATGAATTATACGTTTTTAATCTCGATAAAAATGTAGTAAAATCTGAATGTACTGGATACGAATTATTTCTAACTAAATAAACCAATGAAGGAATATCGTTAGAAAACTTAAAATAGTTGGTTGAAAAAAATCGATTCAATAAGATAATGCACTGAAAAAAAAAATAACACAACTTGATTGTATGACGGCTCGATAGTAACTGACTAAATGTTTTAAATAAAATCTTGTTTGACAAATTAAAATTTGCATTTTCTCTAGTAAATTTTAGATAGATCGTTGTCGGGCGCGCGGCGTTTGCGCGACGGGTTTTTCGCGTCTGCCGCATCTGTAGCGGTGCCGGCGGCGTCGGCGTCGGCGGCGATCCCGGGTGTTAACGCGACGTTAGATATAGTAGCGTTTAACGAAATCGGCTTATACGTACTTCCGAGCTGTTCGTTCGTTTCGGATCCGTCGATCGTTGTTGTACCGGCGTCGTCGCCACCGTCATAGTCGTACGGCATCATGAAACGGGTACTGTTCAAAAATCCGATAGACACGCGCAAAAACAACGTGTACGCTACACCGTACAGCTGCGATATACGAGAACCCGAAACGAGGATGGTGAGTGTAGACGGCACTAAAAATCTTCAAAAAGTGCACGTTATGGGTATACCGACTGGAGTCTCGCCGTACGTCAACGAGACACTGGTAGACGGTGCGGAACGTCGGCGTTTTTATATCTTTTCGGAAAATAAACTTACGGAAGACTTGATAAGACTGATGACTCAACACCACAAACTCGAACCGTACGACGTGCCGCGATTTCAGACGCCGTGCGGTCGCGTCGATCAGCAACCGTCGACGAACTTTTACGTGTACGATCAACGCGCGTCAAACGATCACGCGTCGTTTTTCGAATATCGATATTTCAGACAGAGGTACTGCGAGGCCAACGCGATATTCGACCCGGCGTCTAAAAACGTTTACCGCTTCGTGCTGCCCGACGAGTGCGTGGCGCCGCTGGCCTTTATAATGCCGGAAAACTACGTGGCGATTTCGCCAAAGAGGGGCTACATCATGTTCGAAACCGGTATAATCATACATTTTTTTACAAAACACTTCATGTTGGCCAAAAACGCCTTGTCGCCAGCCAACGCGTCCAAACCAGCAGTGGTGACAAATAATGCGCACCGAAAACCTGTTAAATTGCGTCAAAGAAAAATTCAGCAAGCTAGGGTTTTTAAACATGTACAGCGCGGGTCCGAGACAGCTTGTGGCGTACGACAAATTCGTCACGGCCGTTCTGGGTGACTATTCAAATATAAACATGTGAAAGCGCGTGACGTTTGGGCCGGGCGAAGACCACGATATGTACATAATATATATAGTTCAAAAAAAATTCATAAAAAAAGCATAACGTTGTCGACAAGCGTACGCCGTCGTCGAAACAGTCGTCGCAGATCGTAAATTATAAACAGTCGCGACGCAGTCGGTCGTATAGACACGATGCAGCAGAACACCGGCGAGGTCCCGATGTCGGCCAAAGAACAGTACAAAAAGATTTACGAGTCCGTCAGCAGCAGCAGCAGCGGCGCTTCTACATCTAGCGGTTACGGGTCGGGATATGAGTATTTCAGCGCCGCACCCGTGCCAGAAATATATTTCCACGAAAAAAGTCCGAATCAGGTGTGCGTGGCCGTACCTTGGATATTCGTAAACGTCGACGACGATCGTCAACACCGAATAGTGGATTCGTATAAAATGATCGATTACAACGTGCTGTGCTCGTTGATGAATTACGCGCCGTCCATAGAGTCCGGCAACAACGAAACGCAGATCAGAGTCTGTTCCGAACTCATCGCGCGGATAAACAGCGCGTCGCCACCGTCGGACTTATACGTAAACGACCCGGAGACCAATGTCCTGGTGTCGGCGCAAGAGACCTCCGTGAACGGCGTGTCGTTCTATTCGCAGCTGGGCGACGACAACGAGGCGCTGAAAATCGAAATACGCAAAATGACGCGCGAAGACGACCTCAATCAAATGTATTACATAATGGAAAAGTTTAAAGAATCCATACTGTTCAAGAGGTCGAGGATCTGCAACAACTCGTCTAAACTGTTGAACATGTGCACCCTCTTTCTGGCCATAGAGTCGTACAGCGTGCCGTTAAAAGGTCAACACCTCACCAACACCTATTCAAACATATTGTGTTTTATGATAGACGCGATGATACGCAGCCGGATCATAGAACACTGGCACAAGCGCCCGTGCACGCGGCAGCTGCTCATGGACCTGGTGAACAATTACAGTAAATCCAACCCCATGGTATGCGTGTGCCGGTTCGAGACGGCCAAAGAGCGAGCCGATTTCGTGATCGAAAGGATGAAAAAATCTCGTCCGGACGGAATGCTGCAGAACACGTCGTACTCCGCATATCAAAATGTTTTAAACGGATCGAGGGTCGAAATCAACGGCGAATCGTATTATAATTTCAACGAAGCTTATCTGAGAAATATTTTACAAATTCAAAGTTTTGAATTTCTGATAAATATTTCTAAAAAAGTATAATAGTTTTTTTATTAATTTTATCCCGCGGCAAAATATAATAGTGTAATTCCAAGCATCTGTAAACCAAGCCGGTGTTCCAAGAACACGATTAAATTAAATTATATACACATAATACGGGTCGATAAATACCGCATGCGCGTATAACGTTGGTTTATTATAAGATTGCAATTCGCGCGAAAATCTGTTACAGTTTATGTGCACCTCTGTACGGCGAACGAGCCTTTATACTCGTAATCAAGACTTACAACGTGACGGTAGTATAACCCATGACAAAATAAATTTGTATAATTTGTCATGGTATAACCCATTTCTTTTATTTTTTTTATTTTACAACGCGATTGCAAGAAATAATAATAATGTCAACAGCGTGGTCTGCGACGTTATTACCTTTCAAGTTTGACGGCTCACCGACGTTCAGCTGCTGGTTTTTCTCGTAAGCGTCTACAGACGGTTACGTCTGCTTCTGGTTCAACGCCGTGGACATTATAAGATATTTACAAATAAGAAAACTGCCTCGCGTGATCGTAAACGCATTGGCCGATTATCAGAAAAACCTGTTCTCCGAAGTTTTGCGAACCGTCACGTTCGGCCAACGCGAGCGCGACGAGATCCTGAAGTGTTTTCCTAAATGGTGCCCGAACACGGTTTTGATCACGGAGAGCGGATTGCTGGACATAGTGAATGCGACGCACACGGCGAAGGCTGCGAGTTTAAAAAAATGGGTAATGTACACGGTGCTGCCGAGGTTACGAACCCGTATGACACCGATGATCGGTCAAAACGTCGCGTACGATCATCGTATGGAGGCGTTGGCAGACGAGATTTCCGAACTGCGAATCAAGCTGGGACGCGCGAACAACGATTACCGTAAACGAGCCGAAGAGCTCCGCGGCGAACTCGGACACGTCTCAGACATAGCAAAAATGTCTGTCACGCGTACACGGAATCTCGAAAATTTTTTAAACGCGTACATGTGTCGTTCGTCAGAAGACTCTTACTACGAAGAAACCTATATCGTCAAGTCTGGCGATATGTCGCGAAGCATAACTCAGACGCAGTTTGACAACGACGATGACGATGAGGACGATGACGACGGCGAGCAGGACGCCGCGTATGACGTGCATCAGCCGCAAACATCAACTTCTTCGGATAGCGTAAACGGCGCCGGCAGCTCTTCGACGTCTGGACTATACCGCGTAATATTGTAAACGATTCATAATATGTAATATCGTATGTGATAGTAATAAAGGTTTAGATTATAATAAAATAACAATGAATGGTTCCCAGTAAAATATCGTGTTTATTTTTTATTCTACACACAAACACACACACAAACATACATACATATTATATATTATAATGTGACACGCCTTTTAGGTATTTTTTTGTACAATAAAACCGAGAACAACAAAAAATAGACACTGGAAATATTCTACAAAGTAATAATTTAATACGTAATCGATACAGAACTGATGTATACGATTACGTAGGAAAAAATAAATCTATACGTAAACTCTCAGATAGTCGTACACCGATTCCAAGCAGACAATACACCTCTGTTCGTTTTCGATACATGAAATGCACGCGGCGGCGTGTCGACACGGGATGCACAGGGCTCGTATTTCATTTTTTCTACATACGTTGCATCGCGCCGACTCGACGATGACGTTGTTCTGCAGTCTCGAATATACGCCGACGCGCATCATCTTTGAAATGGTAGCGGCACGTCGTCGTGTCCCCACCGGCCGAAAATCTTGCAGCAGAAATAACACGATACACGGTCCTCGTAACCGGTGTAATAGAGACCGGCTTCGGCCAAGTCTTCGGGAGACGGTCCGCGTTTACCCAAAGTCCAGGTTTCGTAGGTCTTTAGACGGTTTTGAAAAAACACCATGTCCCTCGTCGAGGTTCTTGAAAGGTTTTTCCTGTTCCCGTTGTTAATCACGGTCGCGTGGTTGGTGAGACCGTATAGAATACTGATGTTTTCTAAAAATTCGTCGTCCACCCCGTGCATATTTTTTTCGACGTTCATCTCGTACTATATCGTATATATATATATTGAACACTCGAATGTCCTAACAGAACTTGTGTCGCGCACCGAATTGTGTCGTGTGTGTGTGTCTGTTCCGATGACGATCTGGCGCGGCTCAAAACACTACTACCTACTACTAATACTACTACTACTAGTGCTATATTGGGCAGTATTTTACGGACGGGACGTAGGTAGCGGCACCGTAGAACGGTTTACAACTTTTACAAAAGAGACCGGGCGGAGTCTGACGCTTTTTCAAGCTTGATCGTAATTAGTACACGCGCGACCGATGCTGAGAATATATCATCGCTTTGAAAAAAAACTTTTTATACCCCAGGGCGTGTGTAAAAATACATTTTCAATCTCAGACGGCGTTTATCGTTTTTGCGCTCGAGTCGCTATAACATCGGGTAGTAATTATTTTTCACGGTCGTAAAAACGTATGCAGTTTTTGTAATTGGCGGTACTTTGAATCAAAAAGAATAACTGGCTCGTTTTTTCTACACGTTTGAACAAAAAAACTACGACCACACATACGCTTTTTGCCCCTTTAGTGATAATACATACGCCGACGTATGCACGTCGACATCATACCCGTGCAGTCGTCATCTATAATTGAAGTCATAGACACCGGTAGCGCCACAGTAGCTGTCACTATCTCCACCAGTAGCACTCACGTAGCTTTTTACGTGTTAAAGTCCCCACCAAAAGTCGTAGGAGGGGATGTGGGAGGAGCCTAGCCTTTTCGCGGTCTACGACCAATTTACCACGGGCCCGCGCGCGAGACTCTGTCCAGTGTTCGATCTGAGAGGACTAGTCTTCTCTTGTAAAACCAACCTGACGTCGTCCCCACCTATTATTATATATATACAGGCGGGAGCGGTACGGGGGTACCGGTGAGGGCTGGCGGGTCCCTCAGGAAATCCCGCACTTCCGGTCGGCCGCCGCGAGCAACTTTTTAAAAATTTTCGCTTTTTGGTGTACTCCGTCTGCCTATCCCCCGAGGATTTTAAGGGGTAACGGTACGTTTCGAGTTTTCGATACGCAGGCGTCGGTCATTACGACGAGGGAAAAAGACCTCGACGCAGCCGGTACGGTCCGCATAATCTCCCTGTACAAAAACGGACGACGCGCGCACTAGTAAAAGTCGAGTAAAACATATATAACGACGGTTGAGCGTTTTACGTATTTACGTTGCCTATCTCCACAACTGCGAGGGGTTAGTATCGATTAACGTTTTTGTTCTGCCGGCGTCGAAGCGCGGCGGTTTACCGTTTAAAAGGTGTAGAAGGTTGTGCCTGCGTTAGTGAAAAAAAATACGTAAACGGTGAACAAACCGGCGGCATGCCTACGGGAAGTTTTTGTACATCTCGCGCGCGCGTCAGACGTCGACGGTCGCGATGGCTTGTCTTCGGGACGTGTACTCGGAATAACGCTTGATCGTTTGATTTTTCATCCGCGTGTCGCAAACCGTAATGTTGTACAGACGTGCTATTCTGCACACGTAGTCAAACGAACCCGGCATGTTTACTATGTGCGTGAAACCTTCGTCGTACAGTTTTTCTATTCTAGACCGTACTAGCCGCATACCGCGATCGCAGGTGTCCGCCGCCGCCGCATCGCAGGGATCGTCGAAACGACCGTTTTTAAATATTTTAACTTTAAACCCGCGGTTCCTGCGTTTGGGGCCGTGTTTGACGCGCAAACGGTCTTCTAAAGGTAGTGGAAAATAACAACTCTCGTAATATTCGTAAATAAACACGGGTCTACCACTAACAGTCTCCGACTGCGAACCGCCGTCGTTAGCAGCAGCAGCAGCAGCAGAAGCAGCAGCCGCAGAATTAGTAGTCATGGGTTCTACCGCGGAGGGGCGGCGACGACGGTCCGGAACGTCGGGCGACCGCTGTTCAAACAGCGAGCGCACGGCGTCGGGGGATGACGACGGTCCGTTGCCGGACATGCCGACGGTCGTACTCGTAGACAACGATATAGACCTGGTAAACGATTGCCCGCCGCTGGTGGCGTACAACGAGCAGTCGAACAAGACGCGCTTCGCGTTCACGGTTACGGACAACGCGCCGGCCGACGCTGAGTGGTGTCGTCTGATGAACGGTCTATATTTAAGCCGGCCGCGCGTTCCGACGAAAAAGTCACGTTTACGGAGCGCATGATGGTATCCATGATCCGGACGATAATGTTTCAATACGTCTACCAGATCGCTCCGCACGAATCCATGTACGATATTATATATAGTGGGAGCGTTACGCACGTTTTAAAAAAGAAAACCCGAGCGATCGACGACTTGACGCTGCTGGATTTCACGCGCGAGTTGGACGCTTTTTTCGGAGAGGGTTTTTCAAAAGTGTGCGCTCGACCCCTCACCCATCTTTATTACGAGTACATGACAAAACTGAGATACTACAATTACGGCGAAACCGTAACGACGCCGTCGGCCCAGGACTACGTCGACCTGTACAGGTTTATAAAATGTCCGGTGTCGAAACTTACGGCGGTCACCGAATACATCCTGTCCCGGAACAATATAGATTATAAAACTCCGCTGCAGCAACAGGTGAAAATCTGTTACTGAATCGTCGTAGGTCATGAGTATTTCGTTGGAGTCGTGGGAAGGCGTAGTGTCCACGGTGCAGCGGTTTTACTCGCAAGATTTAAAACCGTATTACAACGACGAATACTTGGAAATATGCCTAAACGTCATAGGTCTGGGCATAGGTTCGGCCAGTTTTAATTACGTCCTGACCATCGTGTCTCTGCCCGAGCCCATATGCGTTCACAACAACGTGGTGGTCGTGTCGCTCCCGATGATGCAAAACCTTTTGGACAGACACATCGTTTTTCCGGAAAATAAATTAGAAAACGTCAAAAATTTCGACATTTTCAAAGATTTCAACATGTTTAAGAAAAACGACGCGGACCACTACGACAACTGCGTTAACGACTACATGGTCCGTTGGACCGACCAATTATTGACCAACAACGGTTTCGAACGCATAACTTCTAGCCAAAAGATATCAATGGTGATTTTATTCAGGCTCGTCCTGTGCGTGGCGCACTGGTTGCAGCACTACAAACTCAAAACCGGCTCGAATAACCACGACAGGTTCCACGACGTCGAAGTCGCAGACCTGAAGAGAAAGTTCGACGACTTTACAAGTTTGAAAAACAATTCCGAAACCGCGAAACGGTTTAAAAAATTGTACAGTGAGAATTCGACGGTCGAAGATTACGTGAATTCCAAACCTGCGCACTCGACAGACGACTGCGACAGCGACGATGACGACGGCAGCGTCACAGGCGACGACGAACGTTTAGACGATCGCGCGCACGCCGCTGACGGCTATCGCGACGACGGTAGTGATAGAGATTACGACAGTTACGACGACGACGACGACGACGACGGTGATCGTCGTGTCGTCGACAGAAACAAGAAATCTGGAATTTTGAAATTTATAAAAAAATATAAAAAACGGTAGTGTACGGCAGCAGTGGCAGTGGCATTCAACGCGTACTCGATTTTTCATCTGGCGCGTTGACTATGACGGGGATGTTTAATTTATTTTTTTCGTACGAATCGATTTTTCCGTAAAAATCCACAGACATGTATATGAGTACGGTCAGTATGAATATGAAAAGCAGAGCGAACAGTGCTGACAAATTGGTAATAAACGTCAATCCGTTTGTGCCGAATTGCGCACGTATAATGTTTTGAAATATAGTGTCTCTGACTTTTTCCGTGGAAATTGGAGAATTGCTGTCTTTTTCGTCATCCGGGACCGGTACGTTCTCCATGTCTACAGTACGTAGACGCTATTTATGAAAACTGATCAGGATTCGCATAAATCAATACCGTTCGTTCCAACCAAGGTTGTTGTAAAATTGTATTGTATGCGGTCATCTCTCTATTTATAAAACCATTTTTAGATAAAACCATAGCGAACAGTGATATTACAAAAATCAATATCGCAATAATATATATCATTGTGAAACGTCTCGTTAATAATAATATAAATTATAAAAGCCGCGGTACGAGAGCTGGATATTATGCAATCTACGCAGAACAGTATTAATATACCTGCGGCTAGGCGTGGGTTGAAAGTTTTAGACGAACACGTGTTGAACAAATTAATAGATTCCGTGCCGTTGGACGCCAATAAAGATTTCATCAAACGACAATTACCGCCTCTGTCTAAAGTACGCGTGCCGATAAAACTGTCGGACGAGAAAAACTCTCCTAAATTTATACGGAGTATTGTCAAAGATCTGGCTCTGTTGGACGAGCCGGATTTCGTGAGGCGGTACGATCTGTGTTTGGGTTTTTTCTGACACCGGGGCTACTCGATGAACACGGTTAATAGATATTTGAAATTATTGACAAAACACGGACTGTTCGGAGACGGAGAAAAAATTACGTATCTGAAACCGGAATTGGCAGTGTTTTCCACGCAGAAGCATACGCGTATCGTGGACAAAGACACGTACATAAAATTTATAAATTATATGAACGGTAGCCTGTCGAAATTCAACGCGCCTCTACTGTTTTCGTTTTACACGGGTCTCCGCACCACGGAGATATTACAGATTACCACGTATCAACTGCACCAGTTAATCGTAAGATCGAGCGTCGTGGACGTTAAACGTAAAAACACGTCTGTGAAAAAAACATCTATTTTATGGACGCCTATATACACGTCTCATTTGTTGAAATTTATAGACGCTATGGCCGACCTGTATAAAATCGAAATCTCAGCGTTTTTATCGTCTAAAATCGATGTACGCCTGTTTAATTTATCACCCAGCACGCTCGTTAATCGAATGTCTGCAGTCTTCGTAGCGTCTACCGGCACCGGCTTGCCGCACGGTTTCGGCGTTCACGGTAATCGAACGACCGTGTCGAGCATAATGTACGATTCCGCACCAAATCTGGTAGCGGTTCAAAAATATTTACAACACAGCCATCTGTCCAGCACTCACCGATACGTGCGCGCAGACGTAAAGACCCTGGCCAAGCAGTTTGATCGTATAACTCAAGAGCATTTCAAAGACGTCATTGGAATATTGCACTTGGACAGTGATGATGGTGGTGGTGGTGGTAATAAAAAACACGACGTAATAAATAAATGAAAAATATTGTATTTCAAAAAAAACAACATAACCGCACGACCACGAACACATGAGTCGTAAGATCGTAATAATAATAATAATAATAATAATAATAATAATTATAGTAAACACAAAAAAAATATAAAGATAACAATATTTTTATTTACAATTTACAAACTGTCAACGTCAAAGTGTTTCAACAGTCGAACGTTACAATCGATTTCTTTGCATACAAACATTGGTTTAAACGATTTTGTATAATATCCCAGATCCTGTTTGCTGCAAGCGCCCGTTGTTTTAGTATCGTCGAGAACGGCGTTTTTGACCGACGACGGAGTACTCCAAACCGCATCTCCATCGTGTCCGCGTTTACGAGCCAATCGGTCCAAGTACTTTGTCCGTTTTAATTTCCTGAGAGCCACCATCAATTTGTACATTGCGTACTTTGAGAAATACTTGGATATTATTTCAGACGTATTTTTTTCGAATTTCAATTCATTTATTTTCCGCACGACGTCAGACCAAGTTAACTCTTCAACACTGTAGCCGGTCATAAGGTGTAGCAGCACCATTTCGGAACTCTCGATTTCGTATATGTTATATTTTTTCGGATCGAATTTAATGCAGTCCACCAGCACCAAGCACGCTTTGTGAACGGCTGATTTCGCTCGCTTCTTTGTTTTGTCGCATTCCGCGTCCTGCGTCGTCGAGACCGTGACCAGGTCGTCTAGGCAATTTTTAGGTTTGAGATTTAATTTAAACATTTTTTTGCTATCTGCACGACGGTTATTTTTTGATTCTATATAACCGTCCGCGTTATCGGTCGGTTTGGTTTTTTTTCCGCGAGTTTTTGTCTTGCCGGAGACCGCCCGAGCCGACGGAGCGGATTCTGTTGATTCGGCACGGATATCGTTTTCGTAACACGTCGCGTCGTCGTCGTCGTCGCCGTTCTCGTTAATCTCTTTTATGTCGTAAACACAAACTGAAACAGTTTCCACTTGCGCAGGCGCCGTCGTCGCCGTCGTGGTTATCTCAGCCGCCACAGTCGTCGACATCACTGTATTCGCCGTATTGGTAGTAATAGTAATCGGTTTAGACATCGTCGCGGTCCGTGATACAGAAAACTGCTCAGCGGAGCATTTTAGGTCTTTGACTTCTTCGTCGGCGTTGTCGACGTACGAAAATCCGTAATTGTTTATAAAATTTAACATACACTCGTTGGTGAACGTTTCCGATAAATGCGAGTTAAACATCATGATCGTACCGAATAAACTTAATAGATATAGATGTGTCACGGTATTGACGACTGATATTCGTCGAAAATATAATACTAGTCTTCGACCAGTTTACTAGCCGAGGTCGAATAGCACCCGACGACCTGCCGCGTTGTCGACCATGGTGTTTTTCGAGGCGCACATATTGCTGTCGTGCAGTCTAAAAGTGGGTAGAAAATGTGACGAGAATTCGTGGCTACTGACGAATTGCATGCACTACGACGACTACCGCACGGAAGCCGATTTTCTAGAAAACGTAATCAGAAAACGGCAATCGTACATGGCGTGTTTGGCGTACAAGGCCAACCAGCGTAAACGCGTGAACCACCAATCGGTGCCTATAGTGCTCGGAACGTATTTGGATTACTGCATACGCGGCGCCGAAGCGGTGAAGCGTACGCGCTCTCAATGGGGTCAGGTTATTATACGCGGCATGTCTAAAATGTATTTTTCGTTCTCCACGTTCGACGCGCTGTCCATGCACGTGCGCAAGTGCAAGGGTGTGAAATCGGTAGAATGGTTTTTTTACGTGGACAACGAAGGCGTGGCGCTCAGCTATTTCAATAAAACCGTACAGGTCGTGTACAAGCGAAAAACTGTGACGAACGTCGACGACTCGAGACTGTGGACGACTCTCGTGAACAGCGCCAGCCCGTTTGTAAATCGTAGCGGCTCAGTCGACGGTTCGGACTATTTAGACATGTTCGATATCATGTTGACGTACCCGTACGACATGAACGACCTGAAAAATCGTCAGTTTTTAAACTCCGGCGCTATAATCAACAAGGTGATCGAACACAACCTGAGCCGCAGAAAGAAGAAGAAAAACATAGGCGGCGTGCGGCTGTCGGAAATATTCGAAAACGCCAATTTTTTCAACATATTGAGCAAAAAGAGCGCTTACGACGGCGACGATTGGAACAAAAACTATCCTCAGAACTACGACAGCACGCTGCACGAGGGCCGCAGCAACAAGACCGCGCATTACATATCGACGGTCACGCGCGCGTCCAACGAGGCGTTCAGGAATTCGTCGGCGCTGGTTTATCCTCGCGACGCTTTCAACTACTTGTGCGCGCTGAACACCAAGGACCTGAAAGCGGCCTGCGAACAGAACGTGTTGGCCGACTTCGTGATGATGAGCGAGGAGAGCGACGAACAGATCGTGTTTTCGTACCTGTACGACGTGTCGAAACGCGGCGGCGCCAACATATTATTGATATTGAACGGTTTTTTGATAAACCGTCGATGCGACTGGACGTTTACAGAGTTTTTAAAAATGAAACGCAACGATTTCTGCAGACACGTGACCACCAAATATTATTATCCGTACGTGTACGTGTTCACGAAAGACTCAATACCCATAAAGTACTCGGCCGAACACGACGTGTATTTTTCGCCGGCCGAGACTCAAGAATACGGCATAAAATTCGAGGAAGGCTCGCAGTTCTCGACGACCGTGAAATGCCTGGACCCGCATTCGCTAATCAAAAACCCTCCGGCCAAGAGCACCGTTTCGATAAACGACATAAAGGGGAGCGTGGCGAACGTGACTTCGGATTTCCACAAGCGGTTGATGTGTTCGACTCTAGGCATAACGTGTTACATCGAGATCGACGACGCGAAGAAAAAAAATATTTTAAACTCGTCGTTGATGGCCACCGGTCAGACGCCGCCGGGCGAATATTTCGACGAGGTGGCGCGAATGTTCGGAGATTCGAAACCCGAGCTCGTTGACACGGACCGGGGTAAAGCCATGCGATCGCTGCTGAACATGTACGACTTGCGCACGCTGGAGTATCGATGCGAGCGCTACAAGAACACGACGTACGCTTACATTCCCGATTCGAAGCTGAACCGGCAGGTCCGCGATTACGGGTCACTCATCCTGGGTTCGGATATGTACGATCCCCCGGACCCGTGGAACTTGCGTGCTTGGGTGATGTTCGGAAACGTGCAGGGCACGTGCGTCGAGGACGGCGTCGTCATGGACACCAAATTCGTAAAGATGGTGCCGCCCGTCATGTACAACGCGTGCATAAGCGTCGAGTTTATATTCAAGACAGTCAAAAACTCGAAACACGTCCGGTTCATACCGGTGAACGGCGAAACGTCCGACACGCTCATAGGCTGCGTGGTCACCGACGGCGAGGTGTACGTGAAACACAGCCGACACTGCAACGTGCTGGTGACGAACATCGGCAATCATTACTACCACCTGGTGCACTTCAAACCCAAGCACCAGTACCACGACATAGGCATAGACAGCGTGAAGACGGAAAAAACGTTGACGGTGCTAATTCGGGGGACGCACGTTGGCAGCTTCGGCGTGGGCACGAAGATCGCCAACTTGTTTGGACAGAAAAACGACCGTCAAAGACCTGTCAAAGTTTTGGGGAGTGACGCGCGACGGCCGAAAAGTGCACGCTCAGATCGTTTTCAGCGACGTGTCGCTGATCGGGCGCGTGTCCGCGGGACAGGTGCGGTCCATGCTGGCGTCGCCCGACTGCGCCATAGGGCCGAACAAGGAACTGCTGGCTCCGCAGGACATAGTCATACACGCCATACACCCGTACACGAACATAAAGATTTTCGACATAAAGGCCGACACCCTGGTCAACGTGAACGGTTTCGATTCGCAATCGCTGTGTTCCACGACGCTGGCGCTGCGCACGGCTCCGGTGCTGAACGACGTGTTGAACGTCATCAACATGCACGGATTTGAAATATGCGACGTGTGAGTATTGTTTTTTTTCGTTTTATAAATCACGAGCTGTTCAGATATCGGAACAGTAGAAACGCGTCGCTGTACTTCAACGGGTCGTTGTGTACGTTGGCGTTGCGTTTGCCGATTTTCGACCTGTACAGCTGCATGTAATTCGCGCAGTACACCCATATTAATATTATTGCAATTATAGAAGTGATGAGCACGAACGCGAACGTGAACATGACTATGAGGGCCCAAGTACTAGAAAACGGAGTAAACAGACGGTCGAGCAGTGTGCCGGTGCCGCCGCCGGAGGCGGACGACGCCATGTTCCGGGTTCCGCGTTTTAAAGAGATGGCGCCGTTACCGGCGAACGCGTGCAAGCGTTTCCGGACTGCGGGCGACGGTCCGTTGACGAAAAACGACAAGATTTGTAAACTGTTGGAAACCTGCACCGGTCGTAGCGACGTCAATACGTCTCTACTATATACAACGCGTTCGACGAACTGTCCACTCTGGGCGTGATACGGGACGTGCATTTGAAAAAGAAGTCGCTGCTCGTCGACGCCGATCGCCTCTTGTCTTTAGGTTATAATATTGTTTTCAATTTGAAGAAAAAAAAAACAATGTTTATTAAATGCGAACAATTGTCTTATTTGTACGATATACGACCGTACGTTGTACCTATTGTACCTTTTACCGTGTTGGAGTCGTATTGTTTGATTGAAATAAAACAAAGCGGCTCTTACGAAAAAAAATAACAATGTATATTTATATTTTTTTCGTTATGCAATAAAAACACTATTATAGACAATTTTTTATTTTATTATAAAAAACCACATCATTTCCGGAATAAAAACAAAGTCATGGCCAACATCAGCGCGTAAATTATGATTACAAACGCTTTTATCATATTACCTATGGCGTGTTGACACAGAACTATAATCACGGGGACCGTGGCCAACGCCAACATGGCGAACGGGTACCACGTGTATTTGTTTTCTTCCACCAGCTGTATCAGATATTGGAGTTTTGTGTTCAAGTCGGTCGAAAACTCTTCGACTTTTTCCGCAGCCCGCTTCACGGTGGCGGCCGGAGTATCTGTGTAATACCGGTTGCCGGTTTTTGCGTATTTCATGTTATCTTCTGGCGTAGACATAGTGATAGGCGAGCGCTTCGACGCGCTAACGTTTCGAAAAAAAATGTTCGGTCTTACGAATATCGCTATATTCGTACTGTTGATCGTTTTGATTATTATCTCTATTTATATATGCGAAACATCCGTGGTCTCTTTAAACTACACGGAGACCCGGATACCCAGGTTCGTGACGAACGCGACGTTTTCGCCGTTCCCGAAAACCATAGACGTCGAAAACCGAAACAAGGTGTGCGACGCCAACACGTTGGAAAAATGTTCGGTTTCCGACAAGACCACGCAAAGAGTTGCTGGTGCACTGTCACCATTTCGAAAAAGACACGGTTTACGTGAACGACGCGAACGTCAAAACCACGATACCGAAAAACACGAAACCCGACGAGGGGTACTCGCTGGTACTGGGCAATCTAAAACAGGCGTGCAACCCGTATCACGGGGACCTCGTGGTGACGGTAAGGAATAGAAAGTCAAACGAGTACATGTTCGTGTGCATGTGTAAATATCCGGGGCTCGTGGGCAACGACCACATGATGGGTTCGTGCGAAGTCGTACGTCTGTGCAACGGTAACGTTAAAGACTTGAATAAACCCATGAACGAGCTGGAGTGCAACTGTTCGATTCACGAGGAATCGTTCCGGTACAACGGCATAGTGCCGGTTTGCAGGTCGTTGACGGTGCTGGAAGCGAACAGAAAATACGAAGACTGGCAGCACCTAGTGCCGTGGGTCTCCGACGACCTTTTGCCGAAGCAGACGTTCAACGCGACGGTGCAGAACAATATGAACTGTTCTAGGCTTTTGAACCCGTGTTCTCACGATCTGCGCGACACGACGCTGCGGTTGAAAAAGGCGAAATACGATTCGGCGTACAACACGTGCATCTTCGAAGACGGGGGCGTGCCGGTGCGCACCGGCGTGTTTAAACGCCACGAAGGCGCCGTGGGTCCCGAAAACGGTCGATTCGACACGATAGACGGGGCTCTGTACAGCGGTAAATATTCAAAAATATGCATACTCGACAGAGTGGTGGAAAAAAGACAAATGGGCGCTATAACTACGACTTTCGACGTGTCGTTGACGCCCACAGACGATCCAAAGACGACGCTGACCGTAGCGCTGCCCGAAAACACCAGCGTCGGTTCACCCGGACAGGTGCGCCGTGCGCATGACTAACGTCTTAAAAAATCTGTACGCTCCGACTTGCGAGCAAAACACTCCGACGGGCTACATGTGCAGTATAAAGGAAAACTATAAAAACATCGACGGAGGTGTGCCTCGACCGAACGTCGAAGACCCGCCTCTGATGTTTCTGTGGGGCACCGAGAGCTGGGTAGACGTTTATCACACGTACAACAAAGGAGTTCGAAACCTGGGATACGGCGTCGAGTTGGACAAAGACTATTTAAATAGATTTCAAGAAAGCGTTAAATACTACGGTTTACAAATAACCGACGGCAGCCTGCCGACCGCGTCGCACAATGGGATCGTATCGTTTGTCGACGGCGACAATTACAGAATGCACGAACAGCTCTTGACGTGATTTTTTTTGAAAAAAATAAATAAACCGATTTCTATATGATTCTATACGAAAACGTTCTACGCACGGGCTCTGGAAATTTATTCATAAAACACGCAAATAATATTACGAAAGCGTAAGCGATAATAGTTAAAACCAACGTCAGGCTTAACGACATGTTTGTAGAGAGTGAAAACGTCGAGTTGCGGTTCTTTTGTTCGGCGAAAAACATTGCGGTTTCGAACATTGTGGGCAGCTCTATGGTCAAATCGGGTCGTAATATCGGAGCTACCGTAACGTCGAAGTTTTCGATGTTTACTATTACGTTTTGTTTCGAAAATCTAGGTACCAGTATTTTACGCAACAGGTCTAAATTAAATAATATAGTCGACACTTCGTTTACTGGAGTATAATATACTCGATCATCATTGGACATGCGGCTCACCCACTGAACGGTCCTAAGAGTTTTGAATTATTCAATAGTCAGACGCATATTTTTTTATCGAAACAAGCTAGCGCACACACATATGCGCACACACGTATACGCCGCGTGGGTGCGTCGTTAATGTGTTGTTGTATAAGGGACCATTTCGTATAAATATTGTTTACGCGTGTGCCGTGCGTTCAGTGTAGTTAAGTCGGTCAATACCGTGACACATCTATATCTATTAAGTTTATTCGGTACGATCATGATGTTTAACTCGCATTTATCGGAAACGTTCACCAACGAGTGTATGTTAAATTTTATAAACAATTGTTACATGCGGCCCTTCAGGGATCCAAAAGCTGGTGTACTTGATAAATAATAATAGTCAATTAGAATGGTAATCTAATGTATTATATTAAACCAGACAAAACAAGCAGAATAATAGTGTTGATTGTAGTGAATTTGTAGCTCGTTCCGAAGTTGATAATCTCCGTGTAAGTCGTGTGTGATGGCTGGCGGCTAGCGAGTCGTGTGGTGTTCTCGTCTCTGGATACATCTAACTCAGGCTGTCTCGCTGTCCCCTATATATATGGTGGCGGCGTCCTTTGAAAGTGAGCGGCGCGTGTACAGTCGTCCTTGATATGGACCTCACGATTATGAAAGTGGTATTCGTAGTCGAAAACACTTTTGGGTGTGGTCGCATTCCTGGTTGTTATTATGAGCAAATATATGGTATTGCGTAATCCCATTACACCTCCCTACCAAAAAAAAGATTGTTAACCTTTAAGGGTTAAGAATCTTTAACATCGTTAATTAATAGTTTACAATGGCTGAATTACATTGTTTACATTGACATTTTAAATTTTGTATGCAGTTAACAATTTGATTATAGTATTACATTTGATTACAATAATGTGAGCATTTTACAATTTTAATGTCATCATTATTATTATTATTGTTTACAATTTTAATTGTGGTTAGTAAAATAAATTAATACATGATTTAATTAAACAATAGTGTTAATAAAATGATTAATAATCTTTAACAAAATAATATAGGTACCTGAAATTACAACATTATAAGCGTTACGTAAGTATACAATTTAAGTATTTCCCTTTTTATATAATAGTAATATTTATCTTCCACCTATATACTAATTTATGTGAATAATTGTTAAATTTGTCACAGACATATGCAACTATGGTTCTATTCAAGATAATTCATCATGTAAGTTGGATCTCTAGTGTTTTCTATTATTTTTACTAATTGTTTGCATTCTCCATTACAATGATCATCTATGAAAAGTTCAAGGCTTCTAGTTATTTTATTTAAAGTTCTATGATCGTAGTGGTTATTTATTTTCTTGTTTGCCTTTAATATATGCCAATTAAAGCATACGGATTGTAATTTATTTTCTTTAACGTTATAAATATGTACTTCTGTTTTTAAAATTGTTTTTAGCTCCTCAATGAATCTAAAATATATAATAAATGTTAGTTTATGTATTTGTTTATTTAATTTATTTTGTGTTATATTTATTTATTAACTAATAATTATTATTTATTTGCCTTAAAATTCCTTTTATATTTTTTTGCTAATTTATATAATTTAATAGGCTTTATCTTTGTTACTATGTAATTGAATAGGCATTTCGTTAAAATTACGTCTGCAACTGGATCGTGACAATGTGTAATATTATGATTAATATCGCATGCTAGTTCATGAGCTTCTGATAGTCCTAACATTCTACCATTTTTATTTAATTTACCTAAATAACCTGAATATAAAACTTCCTTAGTCTCTAGGTTTGATAATTCTAATACAAATTCGTCATTATTCCTAACGCTAATTGCCGATATATTTAAATATGCTAAAATTCCTGTTAATCTTAAACGCTTAATTATCGTGATATCTGTCGTTCCGTTCCAAAATACTATTAGTGGCTCCCTATCGTTTATGTGCAAATATCTTTGCAAGTATACCGTAGACAAGGTTGATTCCCCCTGGCGACTTATACTGTTGTACAACTGTTCCAGCAATGGTTCAATCACTCTTGCCTTTTTCCCTCGGAATACTCGTTTGATATTCTGCACTGTTTTCTTTAGGTCGCATCGGCGGAATCTTCTTAACTTATCATCCTTTGTAAGTATAAGAGGACTCCCCTCCAATTTCTTGGGTTGGTATTTTTCTAAACTATTCGATATCGCGCCGGATACCAGTATTGTTTCGTTCTTACTGACGGTAAAGAACTCGAAATCCATTATAAAAAAGCGTACCTGTGAGCTAAAATAAAATAATTATTTTTCTTTAAAAACAACTTAAATTGGTTTTTTGTATTTGTAACTATGTATATGATATTTGATATATGATACATGATATATGATATTTTGATATATGATATAGTTTCCTGATTTATTCTTCGAAAATCGTTTCAATGATTTCTCGTCGTCTGATTAGTTGTTCTATCAGTAAACCCAACTCTACACACATTGGTCGATTATGATTTGGTCTTAAGATAACTGTGCGTACAAAATCGTTAACATGGATCATGACCCGTGCTAAGAAATTCGGCCTGAAAGGTATGGTCATATTACTATTTGCCCTTCTTATATGTTCTGGGAAGCAATGTAATCTGATCACTTCCCCTCGCATTATTTGTGTATGATTGGTTGATTCAATTAATTCGTTTTTTAACTCTCTGAGAAACTCAAATGTTTGTAGTTGCATTCGAACGGTTCGTGCTACAGGTGGTATGTTTTCACCCATTTTGTACTTAAAATTTTTACGTTTGTTTTTATATATATTTTTTGTTTTCTTCTTAATTTCTGAAATAGTTAAAAGTTATAAGTATTATTTAGAATATTATTTACGTATATATATTATTGCACGTAATTTTATTTATTTAAATTATAGGATATTATTTTACGTATTATTTCTTTATGCACGTATTATATTTTATTATTATTTTATTTTATATTTTGTTTTGTTTAATTTATTTATCGAATATGTTCTTCACTGTAAATTTGGTGTTGAATATAATATTGATCTAATATTTCTGCGATTTTTAAACACATTGAATTACAGGCTGGTTCGCGGTTACATCTAGTACAAAAGAAGGCTGTTAACGGACCCATAACATTTTCAAGTTCAGTTTCGTTAAAAGGTATTTGCATATTATTATTTGCGTCTATTACGTGTTGTCTAAAACAACGTACATATATTGTGTTCCTTAGTACCAATTGATTATGTGTATCATTTATTAACCTATCCCTTAGTTCCTTATAAAAAACATTAGGCTCAGGCATTGGTGTGGGTTCGCTCATGTTTATGTATTTTATTATATTTATTTTGAAATCCTTCTTGTTTGTTTCCTGAAACATAATTATATATATAGTATTTCTCTAATAGTTTACATATACCTAGCTCTTATTTATTTATTAAATTAATTGTTTACCTCTATTTTAATTATTATTATTTCTATATTATTACTATTTTTCTAACTTATATTTTATTATTTTTTTTTTATTTATTGTTATTATTTGTTTATTAATTAACTTATTATCTTGGTGAAGGGGGTGGAGTAAAGGGTGTTTCTTCATAATTTCTTATGTAGTCATTTCTATTGGGTGCCCTATATCTAACTATTCTGCCGGGAAATTCCATGACTTCTGTGGACCTGATATACTTGCATTTTATCATTATGTAGATTGCTCTTATTAGTATAATAGATATTACTGCCAGTATTATTGTTACATATAGTAAATTACTGTGTACAAATTGATGCTTTTGATTTTGTTCTCTTGAAAGTTCTTGGTTAATCATTTGTTGTACTTCGTCTAAAGATTTGGATGCATCGTGTAAATCTGTGAATTGCATAGCTAGTCCCTTTTCCCATTTTTCATCTGTTTCGAATTTGTGTATATGTTCGGGTATTTTTTCTAAAATATTATTCATGTTAGTTACAGGTGTAAAGTCTTTATATTTTGTAATTTGGATTTCTTCCGTGGCAGTTAATACTGCGTCCCGTGCAAATACTTGACAACTAATGTCGTTTATAGCTATTTCTCCTGCTTCATTTGTTTGTATTATAAATGAGTCTATTAAGTTCGCGCAACTTACAGTTAAAGTCTCTTTTCCTGCGTGAATCCATGTATTTTTTCTTTTTAATTTTTGGTATATGCTTCTTTTTAAATTTATTTTCTTTACTGTACATAACTCAGGATTAGCATACGTGTCAGCTTTATAAAAGTTTTGTACTTCGCACGGTTGGCGTTCATTGTTGTCCTGTATAGGTTGTGGTGTATTACATATTTTGTATATTGATGTTTCTTTACATTCGTTTAATTGTTGATCTGTGTATGTAGTAAACTTTTTATAGCCTTTGGTTACAGCAATATTATTATAAGTAATGTCCATCATGTACCATCCACTAGAATTATCTTGGTTATGACGCATTGGTACTGGTGTTAACCTGTATAATGTGAGTTCAGTGTCAATAATTAGTGGTATTACTATATCGAATACTAATCTGTCGTTTGAATAGTAGATTCTTATTTTTGTAATTTTTTGAAATTCATTTATTTCATATCTCTTTGTT